ATGTTAATTGTTGCCGATCAAATTGTCGGTTCTGGGATATCATGCAATATGAGTATCCGCTAGTTATTTTATTCCAATGATGACACACATCACAAGTTTGAAATTTGATATATTTGCTCACAAATAAGGCATACAAAATTATGTATTAATGTACGCAACTTAGGATGATGTTCATCCTTCAGAGAACGAGAAAATTCTGGCGCCAACAAAAACCGACGCTACCCAATACACCTCAGCGCCAATACAACAGCGCCATACAACAAGCGCCACACTAGATCTTGCTTGGGAAGCTGAACGCAGGGGCGTGCGCTAAAGAGGTGGCAATCGCAAATTCAAAAAACTTAGAATCCCTAACACTGTCTCCCTTGAAACCTCTTAGTTTCAATCGAAAATTAACAGACATATTAAATGACGCTAATAAGCAAATGGTTGATTATGGTATTACAAATGATATAGAAATACTTGTGATTAAACTTATAATTAAATTGAAATTAAGAACAGTTCGTCGATTAATAAAAACATATAGTATGGATAATAACATAAATATAATTAGCTGAACATTATATGATACTTAAACGTCTATCGGTAATATCGCTAGTCGAGTCAATGGGCGAGTAATTATGCTATTACTAGTTTTAATTTCAGCTGATCGAATCTTATTGTCAGAACTTCTGTATATACTCAACACACGTCCCATTAACCATTGCAAGGGTGCCAGCCCTGGTTGTTGAATTACAACCAGTTGTCCAACTTTAAGAGGTTGGCCTTTATTACTCATCCATTTACTTCGACCTTGTAAATTGTTGAGATATTCAACATGCCACCGTTGCCAAAAATGTTGGCGTAATCTTTCTACCAATTGCCATCGGCTTAAACGATTTATCTGAATGTCTTCTAGACTCGGATGACTATAGCTATTTAATGGTTTACCAATAAGAAAATGTCCAGGTGTTAACGCTTGAACATCATTTGGATCGTTTGACATTGGACTTACAGGACGTGAATTTAAAATAGCCTCAATCTCAGTGATTGCTGTTGACATTTCGTCATAATTAAGAGAAGCATTGCCTATAATTCTTTTCATATGATACTTGGCAGACTTGATAGCTGCCTCCCAAAGACCTCCAAAGTGCGGAGCATTAGGAGGTATGTTTTGCCACTGAATTTGTGCTTCTACAAAGAAGTCATTTAATTTTCGCTGTACTTGTTCCTTCGCAAACATCTCATGCAAGTCGTTAAGTTCTCTAGCTGCTCCCACAAAATTCGTCCCATTGTCCGAATACAGGCATGCGACCCTGCCTCTTCGCGCCATGAATCGTTTAAATGAAGCTAGGAAAGCCTCTGATGATAAGTCAGCCACCAATTCTATGTGCACTGCCTTGGTGGAAAAGCATATGAAAATGCATATATATACCTTAAGTAGCCTTGCATTACGACGCTTATGTTCCCTCACAACAAATGGACCGCCGAAGTCTAAGCCAGTATGTGTGAAAGGATGTGACGGAGTTACTCGAGTATTCGGAAGATCACTCATGATAACCTGTGAGGTACTAGG